GGAGCCGTGGGGCTCGGGGGCTCCATAGAGCCCATCCTCCACCAGCTTGATGTGGAAGCGGAACTTGAGGAGCCCGGCCAGCTCCTGCAGCATGTCCACGCAGAAGCCCTCGTAGCGCTCGGGGCCGCCTGCGCCCCCCACCCGCATCACGTAGGGGTTCTCCTATGGGGTGGGATGGGACAGGACAGGACAGGACAGGACAGGACAGGGAGGGGTGGAGAGGTTGGAGCCATGGGGAAGCCAAGAGGGACCCAATGGAGAACTCAATGGAGAGGCCAAAGTGGAAGCCAATGGAGAACCCAAGAGGAACCTGATGGAGATAGCCCATGAGATCCCAATGGAGAACCCAAGAGGAACCCAATGGAGATACCCCAGGAGATCCCAATGGAGAAGCCAAGAGGAACCCAATGGAGATAGCCCATGAGATCCCAGTGGAGAACCCAAGGGAGGACCCAGTGGAGAACCCAAGATGGAACCCAATGCAGAACCCAATAGAGAACCCAATGGAGATACCCCGTTAGATCCCAACGGAGAACGCAAGGGGGGACCCAATGGAGAACCCACGAATGAACCCAATGGAGAAGCCAATGGAGAACCCAAAGAGGAACCCAATGGAGATACCCCATCAGATCCCAATGGAGAACCCAATGGAGAAGAACCCAAAAGGACACCAGTGGAGATCCCCAATGAGATCCCAATGGAGAACCCAAGAGGAACCCCATGGAGAACCCCACCAAAGACCCCGGTGACTGTCCCCAGAGCTCCAGCAGGAGCAGAAGAACCCCCATAGGTGCTGATGGCTCCCAGTGGGGTTGTCCCAGCCCCACTCACCAGGATGGTGGTGATGATGAGGGTCTTGTTGGCCAAGCTGTCGGAGGCGTTGATGGCCAAGGTGGTGGCGTTCATGGCCAAGGTCCTGTTGGAGTACCACACACCCACCTGGGGGGGGACCAGGAGGCCATGGGGCAGATGTGGGGCGGATGTGGGGCAGATGTGGGGCAGATGTGGGGCAGGTCTCACCTCGCGGTGGCCATCGCGGCCCTTCTCCAGCACGTGGAGGGTGTAGTTTGTCCTCTGCCCTTTGCTGTTGAACTCCACTCGACCCGTCAGCCCATCATACTCCACCTGAGGGGGGGGGACATCGGTCATGGGACACCCCC